TGGACGCCGACGGCCATCCCGTACCCGATGACGTGGGCAACAAGACTAGGTAGTGCCCGTATGAACTCTCTCTTTCTCTCTGACTTGTAAGGCTATCTCCTTCAACTATAAAAGGGGATGCGCTCTCTCCTACCAGAAGGATAGAAGCTTTGAACCCCCTAAAGCCCCAAAGACTCAAAGACTCGAGGACTCGAGGACAACAACACAACGGCTCTAGAGCTCGACAGCTACACAGTCTATACGCTCTCAACAGCTGATAAGCTTGGACACACAGAGCATACGCTAAAGATGGCAATGGGCACAGAATGCCCGCATGCCCGCGGGAATGGAACCCGATGGGCAAGGATACGAGCACCACTTCTTGCCCACGGGCACAGGCGCGGGCACCATCCTGAACCCAGAGGATAGTTCTTCGTGGGCAAAGAAATTTGCTATCCTCGCCCACTTATCCGCCAGACCCGCTCCACAGGTCTGACATGTGGGACCTACAAGCAAATATATGTATATATACACGATTTGTTGTGAATCTGTATCTTCATATCTCTTGTAATGTACTATGGTTTATGTATATGCTCAACCTAGCGGGCACACGGGCATGCCCGCGCCGCGGATGGAGGGCGCGGGCGTGGTTTGTTGCCCGTGGCGGGTCGCGGGCGCGGGCGTGGGCGAGAGATTTAGCTGGCGGGCGCGGGCGTAAGAAGATAGTATCCGCGGGCACCACACCCGTTGCCATCTTTAGCATACGCTCTAATACTTAGCGCATGTTTGAGCATCCATCATTCTCTGTCACTCGGCTCAGAGTCCAACCGGGCCTCTAACACCCCCTTCTTATTTCTTACTCGTTTATAACCCCACAACAAACTTCGAGCACTTGGGCTCAGGAATAAAGTCATCGACCGACCTCAACTGGACATAGGGCATGTTGCTTGAACCAGTATAAATCCTGTGTCATTGAGTGCTAGGCCATATCCGATCACAACGCACGATAAAACTACAAATATTTACTTGTTGGCCATATTTTACACCGACAGGAGGCTTTTACCTGTGTGCCATTATAAAAGTTGGTAATTATCTACAAGTCATTAAAAAAGTTGAGTTCTCACAGATGCCACTGCTGTGAACTCTTTTGCCCTCCACGTCACTTCCGTCAGATTTGGCTCTAACGCTGTCAAACCATGGTTGTGAAAAGTCCAAAACACCCTCAGATCTGAATATGCAATTATTTTTTTGGCATCTTAACGACCTCAAATGAAAAAACTCAAAACTAGAAAGTTGTAGATCTCGACAATATCTACAATTTTCATATAAAAATTATCTTCATTTAATTCTGTAAAAAAATACGATTTGATATTACTAATGGAAAATGCAACGGAGGTCCATTAACTTTCGTTGGGGTGTCATCTAGGTCCATCAACTTTAAAACTGCATTTTTGGGTCCATGAACTTTTAAAATGGTTCAAAGCAGGTCCATGCCATTTATTTAACCTTAAATCCAACGTACATTTGCAGAAACCCCCATATCTTTCTTTATCTTCGAAGAAGTGAGTTTACGAGGGAGCCGAGAGAGATCGATGCAGGTCTCGGCGGGCGACTGCTGCTTCCTCGCCATGGCTGGCGACGGTGCGAGACCGTTTGGCTTCTCCCCTAGTTGCTGAGATACCGCTCGGGCAGTGCGATGACCAGCGAGTAACAACACGCGTGGGTCGGCGGCGCTCATGAGCTCGGCTGCTCTTGGTGCACAACGCGTCACGGCGGCGCGGCGCCGTCGTCCTCTCCTCGCCGCCTAGGATCTGCTCCCGTGGACTCAACGCTTCCATCCAGCGCTCTTCTCGAAGAGCTACGCTACTGGCTCGCGAACGCGCTTCGTCATGGCGCGTGCACTCCCGCCTCATCGTCGCGATACCAAAGCAATTGTAGCGGCGGAGACATGTACCTCAACAGTCATCCCGAAGGCAACACCACCGAGCCCATCCGGCGCATCTCGCCACCGGTGAGTCCCACCACCGATCGATGGCGGTAGCGACCAACGCTTTCTTCATGTAACCGAGATGCAACGCGCCGCCGCAGTAATGCATCGGGCTCATGTGGGCGGCGAAACTCGGGGCCATTTGGCGCCGACCTGCTTCTTTGGGCGTGATGGAACCGGAGTGGTGGGTGGTGGGCGAGGACGTGCATTGCGCGCGCCACGCCACCGCACCCTAGTCACTACGCCGATCATTTGAGCAGCAGGCGTTCGGTGCGAAGTGCCCGAAGTGTACGACGGACGATGGCCGCAAGCGGCAGCACGGCTTGCCGGAGAGGTCGATGACGTCATTTGATTAATGCTTATTATTTTCTCGGCTCCGAGTATCGTTGGTTGAATTGGTCGGTCAAATTGTGTGAGCTAGCGAATTTGTTAGAATGGTTGACTCCGCTCTTGCATCCAGCTCGCGCCACCAGAATGGCTTGGACCATGGGCTCCGCTATCAACTGGCCGTAATCATATTGACGTCTGAGCAAACCCCGTACCAATACATTCGTAATGTATCAACCTCTTTAGATGCCGAAATTTTTGGCAAAATGATACTATAGCAGTTTTCGTTGTTATTTGGCAATTAGTGTCCAATCATAGTCTAATTAGGCTTAAAAGATTCGTCTTGTGGATTTCATCTAAAATGTGTAATTAGTTTTATTTTTTATTTATATTTAATACTTCATGTATGTGTCCAAAGATTCGATGTGACGGGAAATTTTGAAAAATTTAGCAATTTGGGAGGGAACTAAACGGTACCTTACTTGGCTAACAAGTAGCTAAAAAATAGTCCTAATCTATTCAAATATGTAAATTAGTAGGTGGACTAAACTTTAGTCTATCGCCGAACTAACAACTAGTCCTTCAGATGGCAAATAATCCACCTAAATATTTTACGTCATGACAACCGAACACGTCGATCCTGCGTAGCGAGGTCCGACACCATCAGCAGCCAGGGTCGCAGCCCAGCCAGCGAGTGCGCGACGTAGCCGAACGTCGAGAACCCCATGGTCACCAACCTCTCGTGAGTGGCGCGATGATCTTTGCTCCTCTGAAAGGCGACGAGGCGAGCCGCAGCCACGGCGGGCGGATGGCTGGCGTTCGTGGCGGCCAGCCTTGGGAGGCCCGGTGGCGGGTGGGGCGGTGGCGCCGGCGTGGGGACCGAGGTTGGCCAAAGGCTCCGGAGCAGGTGGGCCACCCATGCCACGGCACGGAGAACCCATGCAGCGCGCGCGTGCGACACTTGGACGGGAGCGTACACGTCACCAGGGGGGCATCTCACCGGCCACCGCTGTCTGTCTCGTGTCTTGTCACGAGCTTTGCTTTGCTTTTGCTTTGGTGCGCGAGCGTGCGCGCGGGCGCATTTCCCGTGCCCGCCGCGCTTTCTTCAGCGTCGGCATGTGGCGGTATGTGGCGATGGCCACCCTTTCGCCGCAAAGACGTGATCCTCTCGCTCCGTCGTTGAGTTCACCGACCATCGCCCATCGCGCGCTCGTGGCGCGCACCGGGCCGATCGGTCACGTGGAGCCGGTGGCGTAGCGCGTGGCGACGCCGACGGCTGCGGCCAACCCAACCGAATCGGGTTTGGCGACCCGTTCTTGGCTCGTGCCGCCACGCCTCGGATGGAGCTCCACACGCCGCCGCCATGGTGCCGGTGAGCCACCGAGCCTTATGGCGTGGCTCACGGGCGGCGGGCACGAAGATAGGGCACCTGACCGACCCGCGCCCCATCATCGCGACGGACGCCGGCCTGGCCGGTCTCCTCTCGGGGTGGCTGCGGTGGTGGCGCCGCCACGTGGCGTGCTACGTGTGAGGCGCCGGGTGGGGCGACCTTGAGTCGCCGCTCATGCATGCTGACACGCGCGTGCTGCATGGGTTCACTGCAGGTCCATGTAGTGGCTGCTGTACGCGCGCAAAGACCGGGGGCCGAAGCCAACGTGCATGCATGCATTGAGCAGGAGGAGTCTGAGCGCGTAGAAGATAAAGAAATGTAGGGGGTTTTCTGCAGATGTACGTTGAATTTAAGGTTAAATAAATGGTATGAACCTGCAGTGAACCATTTTAAAAGTTCATTGACAAAAAATGATAGTTTCAAAGTTGATGGACCTAGATGACACCCCAACGGAAGTTAATGGATCACCGGTGTATTTTACTCTTATTAATGTCTTAGAAAAATCATATTTTTTTTGTACGGAATCAAATGAAGATAATTTTTATAAAAATATTGTAGATCTCGACGAGACCTACAATTTTCTAATTTTGAGTTTTTTAATTTGATATCGTTAAGATGCTAAAGAAAATTAATTGCATATTTAGATCTGAGAGTATTTTCAATTTTTCACATCCAAAGTTTAACGTCGTTAGGGCTAAATCTGACAAAAGTAGCATGAGGGTAAAAAAAGAATTAGAGTTGTGGCACCGGTATAAACTTAGCTTTTTTAATAATTTATAAATAATTATTAACTTTTATAATGACAAACGTAAAAGCCTCGAGAAGGAGCCCTCGGGACGGCTCCCAAAGCGGTCGAAGTAGCAGTGGCTTTTTCTTCTCTCCCGTGCGCCCCCAGTCCCCCACCCAAAACCCCAGTTCTGTGCTAAACTGATAATAGGTGTAAGTGCCCTGCACTTAAATCCTTCCCAAGTGGAGTTTTTGCCTTTCTCGCCGCTCCCGACTCCGCTATGCCACCATAGATCCAGCTAGGGCGGCGTCGTTGCGTTCAATCCTGTGCGAGAGAGCGCGAAATCGCCGCCGGCTTGATATTGGCCAGGGCTTTCTCCGCCCAATTGCACCAGGTTTCGCTGCCATTTGCAGCGACTGTGCTCTAGTTGGGGGGAAAAGGTGAGTCCTTCGGTCCACCCATTACACTTTTTGGATGCCTGGATCGACGCACATTTGGGAGAGAATCCCCTCTTCCCTTCGAAAGATTCAACAAAGAACGGTTGTTATTGTGTACAGGAATCTTATCTGCTGAATCCCCGAGCTCCGGCGATGGATCTTGACATGGACGACTACATAGACCCCTACGAGGAGGCCGAGGCTGCCGCGGGCGAGGACGACTCCGACGACCCCGACGAGGACGACTCGGATGCGGAGAGCGACTACGAGGAGAAGTCGTTCGGCCTCCTCAAGTCCGGCAAGCACCGGGTGCGCAACCCGGACGGCACCTTCCGCTGCCCCTTCTGCCCCGGCAAGAAGAAGCAGGGGTACAAGATCAAGGACCTCCTCCAGCACGCCGACGGCATCGGCGTCTCCAGCAAGCACCGCCGCCACGGCCGCGAGCGCGCGAACCACCGCGCCTTCGCGCGCTTTGTCCGCACCGATCCGGACTTCGCGGAAGACCTCGTCGGTATCACTGGCATTCAAGGTGCCATTACAACCACCCCTGCTGATAAGAATGGCAGTGCCAATGGCGACGGGAAGGCCAAGGCTAATGGAGATACTGTTGGATCCAGTTCGGTGGCGGCGAAAGTGGGTCCGCCACAGGAGGTTGAGAGGTTTGCTTGGCCGTGGGCTTGTGTTCTTGCAGCCGGGGCAGGGTTCAATCCTGAGCAGTTTGCTGATAGAGTAGCCATGTTTAGTTTGGTTGAGGTTGTGCCTTTGTTTGTCGATGAGATGGAGGTCACAGAAACCTTTGCAATCGTGAGGTTTACCAATGATTGGAGTGGATTTAATGACGCGCTTACGCTGGAGAACCATTTCGGCGTCAATAAGCTAGGGAAGAAGGAATTTGAGATGAGAGATAGTGGTCTAGGTTCTATGGAGGGAGATGGCGGCGAAGGTGAAGTCAAGGTTTATGGGTGGGTTGCCCGAGCCGAGGACTATGATGCAACGAGTGTGTTAGGAAGATTTTTGAGAAAGCACACCGTCCTGAAAACAATAGATGAGGTTTCCAAGACTGAATTAGAGAAATCAGGGGAGATGGTGGCAATACTGGCATCCCAGATCGAGGAAAAGAACCGGTACTTGCAGGATTTGGAGACAAAGAAGAATGCAACAGAACTCTCAATCTCAAGGCTTGAGGAGGACAACAGGAAACTGCATGAGGCATACAATGAAGGTAATCTGTGCATTTTTTTTCTCCCTTTCCTTTGGTTCTACTTGATGGTTTAGAGTTTTTCCTGCATGCTTGACATGTCTAGTCATGTCTAGAACATATCCACGTGTTAACTCTGTTTTGTATTTTACGTTTTATATATTTTTCATGGAAGTCCTGAAACCATTTGTTTGGTTTTTGTTCCCTCTTTATATTGTTCATGGATTATTTATTTGGAGAAAAGACATTATGGGTTGGTTAGACGAATGCAGGACTTGTTGAGATAATATTATTATGCATGAAGTTACTCCATGCCTTATATTCTTTAGCATTATATTATATTTATCAGTAAGACAAGACTAAAGACTTACCTGATAAAGATGAACTTTTTTATTACATGTACGAACAAACCCCTCCCAATCTTCACTTTTGAGTGCTCTAATTTCTTGGCTCTACAAAATCAACAAAGCAAATTTTCTCTGTTAGAAGTCATTTATCTTATAAGTTTTATATCCTCTTTTTCAGAAATGCGCAATCTTCATCGCAGGGCTCGTGAAAATGCTCTGCGGATTTTCCAAGAGAATGAAAACTTGAGGATTGACTTAGAAAATAAGAGGAGAGAACTGAACCTGCGAGCTAAGGATCTTGAAAAAATGTCAGCTGAGAATGCTAATGACAGGAAGACACTCGATGATGAGAAGCAGAAGGTAAGCTAAACAACTATACAAGTGAAGCACTAAGCTATGCACATGTAACCTCTTCTGAAGTACTATGTATATGGTGCTCTAATCTAGATTTATGGGGGTGTCAAACAATCTTTTATTTGTCTGTCTGACTTTAGCATGAAAACAGGGACTTCATAGTTATTTGCTATTTTTTTTCCAAAGGTTGTTTTTAAAATGATATATCATCAATACTTTAACTTTGACAAGGGACACATTGCTGTCAAGTATTTTATCGTCTTAATTCTATGGCATTTCCGAAGGGTAGGCCTGGTGCAGTGGTGAGAGCTGTCTCACTGAGTGTCTGCGTCACCAGGTCAAGTGTCTGCGTCACCAGGTCACGGGTTCGAAGCAGCCTCTCCGCAGATTTTGCGGGGGAAAGGCTTGCCTCGGTTTGTCCCTTCCCCAGACCCCACTCATGTGGGAGCCTCCGGCACTGGGTCTGCCCCCTTTAATTCTATGGCATTTCCCCAAGGACACCAGGTTTCTTTCTACAACCTAGTTGTGTGCATATAAACTGAAAATAATAACAGCCTGAGCATATCATTATGATAGCATAAGTTCATGCTGCAGTATCTTATACATTTTTTTGTGTTTCTCTTCTGAAATGTACAGGCAAAATATGATAATAGTGAACTTGAGCTAGCTAGCATAGAGCAGCAGAGGGCTGATGCAGATGTTCTGAAGCTATTGGCCGACCAGGAGGTTTGCACTTTGCACTTTTCTTAATGTTGTTTTGTACATGTTTCTGTATAATCTAGAGATGAGAATTGACACACCTTAATACCATCAGAGGGAAAAGGAAGATGTACTTGCTAGAATGCTTCAGCTAGAAAAGGAGCTGCATGAGAAGCAGCAGCTTGAGCTCGAAGTAGAACGGTTGAATGGTACACTCCAAGTTATGAAACATTTAGAGGGAGATGATGACGGGGGAGATATCCATGAGAAGATGGAGAAGCTGAGTGTAAGATTTGAGCGTGAAAAGAAGCGCCTGGAGGATTTGAGTGGGGATCTCGTGAGAAAAGAGCGTGAAAGTAATGATGAGCTACAAGAAGCCCGAAAAGAACTGATAAAGGTACTGCCTATTTTCTCTACCATGCACCTAACAATTCCTCTACCAAGTTGATGTTCATAAAATGATTTTAAATGATGAAATGATTTTCACAATGATCAGGGTTTGGAGGAAGAGCTAAATGGGCGGACAGCTATTGGGATCAAAAGAATGGGGGAACTCGATGAAAAGCCTTTCCTAAATGCATGTAAGAGAAAATATGGAAACAATGAATACCAGGTCAAAGCAGCAGAGCTAGTCTCAAATTGGCAGGATGAACTAAAGAAGCCATCCTGGCATCCTTTTAAGATGGTTGAGGTTAATGGAGAAAATAAGGTACTTGCTCAGTTCTGTCCAGCTATGTGTTATCTTTAATGTTTATAGAACCTATTAGTATTTGTTCGGAAATCATATTCATCCTCATTCGTTGCAGGAAGTTCTGGATGACGATGATACAAAACTGAAGTTCCTGTGGATCGAGTTCGGTGATGATGTGTGCAATGCGGTGAAGACCGCACTGATGGAGATAAACGAGTATAACCCAAGCGGGAGGTATGTTGTGCCCGAGCTCTGGAACTTCAGGAAAGGCCGGAAGGCGACGATGAAGGAGGTGCTCAAGTACCTGTTCAGTCAGATTGACACGACGACCAAGCGCAGGAGGGGCTGAGGAGGCGACCTGAGGCCGGGAAGCTAATAAGTAGCGCCTTTACGCTGTTCTGTCAGTTGTGTGCTGCTCAATCCCCTAGTTAGTGGTAGTCTGGCATAATAAGTGCTCGTAATCAAGGCTTATCTATGCATCATGTTCATATGCTTGTGCATGTGGTGCTGTTGCCGCAGGCGTCCTAAAACCTATGTGATCGTTGAACTGACTACTGAGTAATCTTTCGTGCTGACATTATTGGCCGTGTTCGCTTGTCTTATAATCCGTACTTTTCAACTTGGTTTTTTTAGTCAGAACGGTGTTTTTCTCTCGCAACAAATTAATCGGAACAGTGTTTCGGTTTGTTTTAGTGTTTCGGTTTGTTTTTTCGGCGAAGCGGACGGGGCACCTTGCATGGCTTTCTCGTGTGTAATCATTTGACCGTTCATGTGCAATCATTGAATCGTGCCGCCTTATAATAAGGGGCAAGACTAGTGCCTGGCCGTTCGCACGCTTACGCGCGTCCAGACGGCCGTGCCTACTCCGCCCTGGTCGCTTGGCTTTGCGTGCCATTCGTGCCAGTTTCGCCCTGGTTGCTTGGCTTCGCGCGCCGTCCGTGCCAGCTCCGCTTCTCGCGTCTGTGTTCAGACTGCTTCCTTCCGCTTCGCTGCTCACGCTTCGGTCCTGTCTCTTCCACACTGGCGTCTTGACTGCCTCTTCCACGCTGCTCGGATGACTCCTTCGCCTCTTCCACATCGGCGCCGCGCGGCCTACGCTTTCCCACATTGACGCCGACATGGCTTCGGCTAGCTCTCTCTTCCTCGCTCAACAACCCTACATCTAGATCTACTTTTGCAACACCGAGATGAAACAATTGCAATATACGTTAGAAACATTTGAAACTTACATTTGCAACATATGCAACATTCAGATAAAAGCACTTGCAACATGCGTCTGAAACAAATGAAACATTTTGAACAAACTCTTGCGACATACATGTATAAACATTGCAACATGTGCAACATCCGGAAACTACTATTGCAACATCCATCTAAAACATCTGAAACACTTGAAACATGCGTTTTGCAACGTAGGGAAGACTAGGACCGGCCGATTCCAGGCGTCGGGTGAGAGCCGACGGCGCACACCAGCACCAGTGGCGGCGCACGAGCACCCCCATCATCAGCACCACTACCACCACCCTTGGCTTGGACGAGCAGGTGGTGCGCGTGACAGGTGGGAGCAGGCTACGCGTGTGACGGGAGGAGGGAGCGAAGCGGAGTGGGGCGTGGGCGCGCGGCGTGCGGCGTTGGTGGGCGCAAGTGAATGGCGTGGGTGGGTTGGTTCGTCGGGACGAACAAACGTCCGGTGGCATATCATTATCGTATAATCAGCTAATCATGCCACCTTATAACCTGTAGAGGTTTTCTATCTTCAGAGCTGATGAGAATGAGCTAAAAAGAAAAGTGTTATGTCTAACAGTCACTTCGATAATTCATACATGAAATTGAGCCCGAAAAGAAAGTTTTAGGATTAGTTTAGTCACTTTGATAGTTATCGGAGCCCAAAAGTGATTGTTATCAGAGCTCCAGAGCTGAAAAGTAAACTTTGATGACTAAATCGGTAATTCAAAAGAATTAGGAACGAAATTAAACCTTAGACAAGGGTAAAAATAAATTTTCTACTAAACACCCTTTTCAAATTCTAATTCGTGGAATAACATGTAAGGCCTTATTTAGATTGCAAATTTTTGCAATCTAGACACTGTAGCACGTTTCGTTTGTATTTGACAAACTTTGTCCGATCATGGACTAACTAGGATCAAAAGATTCGTTTCGTGATTTACAACCAAACTGTACAATTAGTTATTTATTTTACCTACATTTAATGCTCTATGCATGCGTCTAAAAATTGATGTGATGAAGAGAGAATGAAAAAACTTAGAGGTGATCTAAACAAGGCCTAAATAACTTTTGATGAGGGCTGTACAGTGAATCAGTGATGTGTGGGCTGTGGCCTGTGGGCAGGAGGAGCCGTGGAGTGGGCGGTCAACTCACAAAACCCTCCGCTCTCCACTGGACAGTGGCAACTGGCAAGCAAGGCAATAAAGGCAGCAAAACCCCTCTTCATCTACGCCTTCTTCCTCCGGAGTAGCCATGGCCCCCGCCGGCGGAGGCGACGAGGTGGGAGAGTCCGGCGGACCATCCAAGCGCCGCCGAGTCGAGCGAAGTGCTGCTGGTGGTGGTAAAGGCACCCCGTAATCTATCACATTTTCTTTTTTCTTATTTATTATTATCTTTGTTTGTTTGCGAGGGCACCTTCAGCCCTTGATCTGGTAGTACTACTCCTGTGCAGTTTAGTTTATCTACTTCGTCTCTAGTAATGTTCTTTGTGGTTAAGCGGCGTAGTTGGATACCTAGTCTGATGGCATTTCGACTACCAGGTTACTAATTCCTTCCCTTTCATTTTTCCCCAATCTGCGACCTTGGTTGAAGTAGCATACTTTTTTGGCCTTCAGGAGTAACAATCTGAATATCTGAGTGGTGGAGCTTGTAGGAATAGAGTAGCATACACATCTTATTGTTTAATTTTACTGACAGAAAAATTGCAGATTGTGTTGGGTTATCTCATTCTCTCATTCCTTTTACTATATTTGTTTTTGTTCAACGGTGATGTGTTATATTCTGAGGAACAGACTTGTGATATATCACTCACCTTGCTGTACCCTTGGTGGGCTATCTACCCTAAATTTACTGAATGGAAATGCGATATTTGCTTATGCAGCGAAAGAAGGTCAGAGTCTTGGGGTGGAATCTGGAAGCGGAAAGTGCAAAGATCCAGTTATGTCCAAAGGTTGGATAGGTCTGGTTGGAATAAGTCTGAAAACCCACTTCAGTATATCACACTCTTCGTCATTCCATGACTTTAATAGTTGTTGCTTATGGGCAGAATATTTGGAGGTGAGGTGCGAGGATTCTCAGAGGATTATAAGGGAGATTGAAGACTTGAAGTCTGAAGTAGATGAGGATTTGCGACAGCTTGGATACTGCGAGGAGAATGAGAAGCTGAGAGCTGAGCTGGCTGTGAAGGTGAAAGAGAGGCATTGCCTGATGAAGCGGATTGAGGAGCTGGAAGCTAAGATTGACTTCCTGAGGAAGCGGACTGAGGAGCTGGAAGCCATTAATGATGGCCTGCCAAAGCGGAACGAGGAGCTGCAGGCCAAGAATGATGACCTAACGAAGCAGAACAAGGAGCTGCAGGCCAGGAATGATGACCTAACGAGGCAGAATAAGGAGCTGCACCTCCATAAGAATGTAAGCTTTAAGAAGAAGGTAATCACAACAATAGACCTCTTACATTCATTACAGTTGTACTACAGATGCGGCTGCTTCAAATGTGGCTGCTGGTCTATCTGCTTCATCGAGCATATTAGAGGCACAAACTTCAGATGCAAAAATCCAGATCAAAGCCTTAGTTTCTCAATTGTTAAGCTTGACACAGCAGGTTATGAGCGCTGACTCCATTCAAGCCAATGATGCTGAACTTGCCACTCAAAAAGAAGAGATTAAATGTAAGTTTTTCTTATTCAGTCACTAGTTCTGTGATTCTTACCATAATAGTCCTTATCTGTTGGGTACTGTTTTTTTCAGCACTGAAGGCTTATCTGGGAGAGGAGAGCTATTCAAAGAAAAAGGACTTTTGTCGCCAGAAAATCGAAGATGGGGAAAAACTTGAGAAGCCTCTGAGGGCCACAAAAGCTATATTGAAAGTCATATCTGCTGAGAAAGAGACTACTGAAGAGAGTCTAAAGGTACGTCGAATCAAGGTACTCTATACTCGTTAAAGGTATTTCTAACACGTTATCAGCCGGTGCTCTACTCGTCGAATCAAGGTACGTCGCTCGTGATATCCTCTGGATCCCACCATTCGGTATTTGGATTCAGATGAATCAAGAGAACTCATGGATATATGTTTTTACCGTTGACTAGCAAGATCAAACTGTATGTATTTTTTCCCTAGTAGTAGATTACTCTTGCATGTTCTAGCAACCGATTTGTTCACATGTGTTCTTTTATGCAACACTAGTATAGTATCACGTTTTGAACTAGAAGTTTAGATCGTTTGCTAGTATCGAGAACGAGATGGATGTCTCTAAATGATCTAGATATGGTGGTTTTTACCTGCATATATCAGCGATTTTTTGTGTTTTGAATATGAGATTACGCCGCTTCATGCGACGGACCGTCGGCCAACCAACCCATCAGCAAGATGCGCGTTCAGCGGCGACCATTCCGCCACGTGCAATGCCGGCCACCCCAAATACAAGATGTTTTCGGGCTAGTCTTGGCGTCGTCAACGCGCTTTATATGTGCATGTAGCACTTGAGTTTCTTTTAACGTCGCCATGCGTGCCGTTTTGGTGAACTTCAAGACCGCCACACCAAAGATTACCCCAACATGCGGTACATGTTCGCCGGGCTTTGGTCATTTGCACATCCTGTCATGGCACATTTTTTTTTTCATGTCTCGCCGCAACCGATCTTGTCTTTTTTTTTACTTGATTGATCACTTTGCACTCTGCTATGCCATGCCATGTCGCCTAATCGCAGCTTGGTCGCATGCCACGCCTGTAAACCACGCAGCTCCCTCTCCTCACATGCGAGCATTTTGGCACCTTTCTTTGGTTCCGTATCCAAGGATTAGAAAATGTTTTTAATTGCGAATCCGCCCCAATTCCATTTCGGTGGCGGGCACTCGATTGGAATCGGTGGGAAAAAACAGTGGCGTCTGTTCGAGACCCTTTTTTCCTTTTCCGTCTCTCTCGATTGAAATATCCCCACCCCCCCTAACGCGATGACCCCGAAAGGCGGGCTATTTGAACAATGGCCTTGACTTCTTTCCCCATCTTCCCGTCGCTCTCCTCTTTGGGCGACCTCGCCGGATTCGATTCGAGGGTCGCCGGTGGGTGTTCTCCGGGATTCGTTGCAAGGCATTGCTGAGATCTCTTTCTCTCTCGTTTCGCCGTGATTTGCATTGTTGGGGTTTTGATTCGAGGTCGTGTCGAGTAGTTTTCTAGGTCTTCTTTTTCGAATCTCGATGGTGTCGTTTCGTCCTTCCTCGCCTCGCAGGCGGCAGCATGGGTTCACCGGCCTCGGTGTCGATGTTTCACCACCGATAGCCTGCCACGGAGGTACCCGGGGCAGTATGTTCGGGCTTCGACGTATGCTGAACTCGATGGTAAACGCAAGAGACAGTCGATTTATCCTGGTTCGGGCCCTCGATCGTAGATCGAGTAACGACCTACGCCCAAATCGGCGTTGGCCTTTTGCGTTGGATTGATTATGAAGTGTTATGTTGTACAATTGTCTCTCTCTCAGGAGCCCCGCCTCCTCCTTTATATAGTCGGGAGGCCGAGTCCTAGTCGGTTTACAATGAGATTTCCTAGTAGGATTACTTAATAGTTCTATTACTAAGATTACATGGGAAGAATCCTAGTTGAACTAGATCTTCTCTCTCCCTGCATGGGTATCCTGTGGGTCCCGTGATCGACAAGCCCCCGAGCACTTCATGGTTGAGCTCGAAAGTCTCGCTTTGCTCCTTCAAGTCTTGTTAGGTAGGAACAAAATGTTATCCGATTGCTTTCTGGAGTGAAACCTTGTAGCGCTTCTTGGGACCTTCGAGTGGTGAGTGTTTTGTGAAGAAAAAGTACATCCATCTGGTTGTAGCCCCCGAGCCACTTGCTATTTAGAACAAGGAGCTGGAGTATCTTGTCTTGAAGTTGCTCGATTGTTCGTTGAAGTTTTGTCAAAAGAACTCGAATATGGCTCGTTAGGGTTCTTTTTGTCGTAATGTCTTTGAAGTGGTCTGCGTTGAGGAAGTCTTTTGGTGACGACGGCGCTTTTTGAAGAAAAAGTGCACTCACCGAGTGTAGCCCCGAGCCTCTTGCTATTTGGAACAAAAAGTTGGAGGGTCTTGATCCTTTATGTTGTTTGAAAATTTGTGTTCAAGTAATCCCGAGACTTGAATTATGTCATCATCCGAGTAGTTTTTGTGGCATCTTTCCAAGCTGCCCTTTAGTCTTGGATTAAACCATCATCCGAGTAGTTTCGCGGCATGCGACCCTCCGAGCCTATGTAATAGGGTTCTTTTGGGTGAATTCTTGTCTTCAAAAATTTCGGGGCTATGTATCCCATGACCCGTGCTTTCTCGAAGTTCTTCTCTTTAGAAAAGAAGTCGGATGAAGAGTCTTGATGTGTCGTCGTCGTTGTAGTCTTGAGTTTCTTGTATTCTTGGTCCTTTGTCTTTGGTTCCGAGCCTCAGGGAGTAGTTGAAATGAAGGTCGAGCTCCCTAGCTTAGTGTTGATTAAGCTATGATGTTTGGCCGAGAGCTCCCGAGCATATATCCGTGTTGTTTCGTTCGGGAAGAACTCGGATGCGAAGGTCTTGGCGTATTCTTTGATAGTCCGTTGTTGTCGATGTAGTTGTATGGTGGTGGTTGAGTGTAAACGCCTTTTGTTCACGGGTTGTCTTGTCTTTGGTATATTCTTCCGAATATGCCCGTCTTCGAGTACTGTTTCCTCTCGCCTGAGTCATCCATTATTGAGTCCTGTCTTTTCACTTTGTGTCCTTTGTTAGGCTTATTTCGTTGGTACTCCTAGTCCATGTGCGCCGCTCCTTTGGTCTATAAATATTGTCCCAGAGAGTGCTTGTTTTCATCTATTGGATATTCTGTTGAAACTTTCGTGGTCATGAACATGGTAGTTTGTGAAGTAGAGCAGCCCCGGGCATATTTTGTAGTTCTGTGTGTCTTGTCGAGCTGGAGGAAGTCTTGTGATAGAGATTAGAGGTAGGCTAATCCATGACAAAGATTGTGCCGTGGATGTACGTGGTGGTAGTTGGAGGAAGTCTTGTGATGTGGGCTTCGTTTCTTCATCTGGCGCTTCTGGGTTGATCCTCGTCGCTTTGTCTTGAGACTGTCCGGGCTTGATTAACACCATATGCAAACATCACATCGGTTTTGGGTAGACAGATGCCCGCCGCCTTCTCTCGCTCCATGTTGTCTTGCCGTCTTTGTCGATTTCCGCCTTGGGTGCACTGCGTCCGTCCTTTGAAGAAAACAGTGTAGCTGATGGCGGTTTGTCCTTCCGAGTAGCAATTTGGGACACGTAGTCGTTCCAGAGCCTAGCCGTGTCCGTGTTCCTCTTTGCTACCTTGCTTTTCGTGGTGCCGAGTTCGTTGGGTCTTGTAAGATTTGTAATCTTCTATTTTTGAAGTCGCTTGTAATGTAACGAATCTTGTCTTTAAGATTTGTAATCTTCTATTTTTGAAGTCGCTTGTAATGTAACGAATCTTGTCTTCTGAGTTGTCTTTTACGTTTACATTGTGATCCTGTTGTTCATGAGATTACCGAGTTCTTTCTTAAATAACCGGGTTCTTTTTGTTCCTTGTGAGGTAGCCCTTTCTTTCTTCTTTCTTTCTTCTTGGTTTGACGGGTTGTTCTTGTAGTGATCTCGATAATAACCTGCCGTGGTCTTTGGACGAATAAGTCTGAAATCGCCCGTTGGTTTGTAAATTGTTGTGTGGATTTGTGCCCTCCGTCGCTTTTATTTGCATCGGTAAATGGACCGCTATGTTCCCACACTTGTGTTTTATCGGGCCTTGTGGGCCGTTTGTATCATGAAAAATCTATTTAAAGACCCTTTATCTTCCTTTCCTTGCTCACTTGACTCTTGCCTTTAAACTCTAGCTTTAGAAATCCGCCGCCGTCATCGTCGCCGTCACCCGAGCACCATCTTCCTAGCTTCATCTTCCTTAGTGCCTTTTTGCTTCCGCCAGTTCATGGGAAAGAAGAAAACCGCAAGCAAGTCTCAAAGCGACCTTCGAGAGCGAGGAGTCATCCATTTCTTTGATCGAAAACCGGGAGTTCGTGGCTATGAGGGTCTTTGAGAAGGTTTGGCCAGCTCCAACAACAAGCGAAGACCATTGCATGAGCTCGTTAGCGATGGCTTGATCCAACGCAAAGTCATCGCCGAATGGAGAGTTCCGGCGAGCATCGGGTTCCAGCTCCGGTCTGGTGAGATTGTCCTCTTCGTTTCCTTTGTCCGCCGGACTTTGCCTTCGCTTCGCTTTCCTTCATCGGTTTCTTGGTTATTTCGGGGTTAGTCTCGAACCACCTAACCCCAATGCCGTTCTCCATCTTTCGTTTTCGTTCATCTTTGCGAAGCTTTCCTTGAATCCTCCTTCTCTCTCTCTTTTTCGCTTTTTCTTTCGTCTCGAAACATCAACCCCGCCGTGAAGAAACCGGCGTTCTTGGCGGTTATGGATTCGGGCCGCCAGGTCTCAAAATTAAGTTTTTGACTATGACCTGGTCGATTCTCGTAAAAGATTGGCGTCTTGAGTGGTTTCTGCCGCCAATTTGATCCCTTCCTTGCCGTCCATCCCGGATCCTGGTCCTGTGGTGAATGATCGATGGGACAAGAAGCTTGAATCGCTCGCCTTGAGATTCAAGTGATCCAACTCCCACTCCTTGATAGGATTAGCATCTTTGAAACAAATTTGGGTTTGACCGGCTTTGGTATTGTTTCGAGCTTTCTTCGTCAGCGGGTTCAACATTTGAAAGAGCGGGAGCATCTTGGCTTTGAGTATTCGGGGCCGAGGATCCTTCACGCATGGTCCCAGCTCTTGAGTGACCGGTGAGGAGGTACTCGGCGTCTCCGAAGATTTGAAAGGAGTGAGCGTCATTCCTCCCTTTGTCTCCGAAGTTCTCACCAACAACTTTGTCCCATTGTGAGTTGTCTATCTTTTGTTTGAG